ACTGAAATTCAGAATAATTCTTTGCCTAGTCTCTGTCCCTCTCCCCCTCCACTGTTGGTTCCTAAGGCACAACCACGTGAACTGTGTCATCCATTCCACAGGTGTTCATTGAACACCTATTATGTGCCGCTCGCTGTTCTGAGTTTTGGGAACACAGACGAAAGCCTCTGCTCCGATGGAGCTCTCAGTCTAGTGGGAGAAGATGGGCCATAAAACGATAATCGCGATGAACAAGCACTTTCTGTTGTTTATTGTCGGTGATAAAGACCCGGTTGTGGGGCTGGAGGAAGGCTTGCAGTCCTCAGTGAGGCCCTCTGGGTAGGCCTCACTGAAAGGGGATGTTTGAGCGTTGAACGCAGGCCTGAAGCAGGGCTGAGCGGGCGGCTGTTGGGGGAGGAGCAGGTCAGGCCGGGGGAGCGGCCTCATGTTGGAGGAAGAGCCGGGGGGCTGAGAGTCGCCCGCGCTGGAGAGGAGGGCAGCGCGAAGGCTTTGGGGCCCAGGCTCCGTGAGGAGCGCAGCGTCTCTGTGGAGTGGGAGAGCCACTGGAGGGTTTGGGGTGCAGCGGGGCTCCCCCTTGCTGCAGTGTGGAGAGTAGACTCAGGTCCCGGGTGAAGACTTAGGATCTCGCCCTTTGGGTGAGAGGAGAGGCCTGTGGCTCAGCATACTCAGACGGTAAAGAATTCGCCTGCCATGCGGGAGACCCAGGTTCCATCCCTGGTCGGGAAGATCCCCTGGAGGAGGGCATGGCGACCCACTCCAGTATTCTTGCCTGGAGAATCCCATGGACAGAGGAGCCTGGCGGGCTGCAGTCCATGGGGTTGCAAGAGAGTTGGACTTAACTCGGCGACTAAACAACAACAGCAGCCTCTGCCAGTAGCAGTGGAGGCTCCTGGAAGTGGTTGGATTCTGGGTGTCCGTTGCAGGCAGAGCTGATGGGATCTGCTCAACTGGCTGGATATAGAAGGGTAGAGAAGTAGTGGAGGCACTTTATTCCCCCACGCCCCCATCCACTTCGCAGGTCTGGGGCAGGAGGTTGACCGAGTCAAGGGCAAGATATTGGGTTGGCCAAAAAGTTGATTCAGGTTTTCTTCTGTAACATCTTACAGGAAAACCCCAATATTAGACATCCATGTGGAGCTAGCTGTGAGCCAGTAGCTGGATGTGAGTCTAGAGGGCACAGGAGAGGGCTGCAAACAGTTATTGGAGATACCTTGATGTATAGTTTGTATTTAAAGTTGTGAGGCAAGGGCCAGGTACAAGGACTGAGCCCCGGGACTCTTCTCAGGAAGGAGAAGCAGCCCTGGGGTCAGAGGAACACCAGGAGAGCTGTTCCTGGAAGCCGAGGGGAGGGAGGATTTCCAGGAGAGGAGAGAGAGTTGCTCAGAAATTGTAGCCTGGGCAGGTCTCCTGAGAATGAGACCCCACCATTGGAGGTCATTGGTGACCTGGGCAAGAGAGGTTCTCTGGCCAGGCGGGGAGAAGGTTCTGCTAAGACCAAAGAATGGCCTTTCTGGAGACAGGTAAGTTAGGAAAAAGGCAAACACAGCCCAGGGTCCATACTCAGGTCAGCAGAAGGTGACTTCTGTGTCGGGGCCCCAGCTGGCCAGCCGCAGTTGGCGCCAGGGCTCCAGGCTCTTAGCCTGCAGGGCAGAGCTGGCCGAGGACAATGCCCCAGGTCCGCTCACCTACAGGGTACCTACCTGCTGGAAAGTGCTGCCCTTAGAGGGCGCCCACACCCACCAGTGGAGTCCACAAACCCAGGCTCCCCAGAGAGGAGGCGAGAGGGCTGAGCGGGAACTGAGGAACCTACTCGTTTCATCCACAGAGGGACATTTTGGTCTTTCAGAGAAGCTGCTTACCTTTCCTGGTGAGGCCCAGGGTGACCCGTGACCGTTTGTGCGGCAGGACTTGTTCTGAGCCTGTGGGTCAATTAGAGGGTTCAGTTGTTGTCCAGTCATTAAGTCGTGTCTGACTCTCTACAACCCCAGGGACTGCAGCACCCTGTCCTTCACTGTCTCCCAGAGTTTGCTCACACTCATGTCCATTGAGTCAGTGATGCCATCCAACTATCTCATTCTTTGTCGCCCCGTATTCCTTTTGCCCTCAATCATTCCCAGCATCAGAGTCTTATCCAGTGAGTCAGCTCTTCCCATCAGGTGGCCAAAGTATTGGAGCTTCAGCATCAGTCCTTCCAATGAATATTCAGGACTGATCTCCTTTAGGATAGACTGGTTTGATCTCCTTGCAGTCCAAGGGACTCTCAAGAGTCTTCTCCAAGAACACAGTTCAAAAGCATCAATTCTTCAGCGCTCAGTCTTCTTTTGGTCCAGTTCTCACATCCGTACATGACTACTGGAAAAACCATAGCTTTGACTGTATGGACCTTTGTTGGCCAAATGAGGTCTATGGTTTTTAATATGCTGTCTAGGTGTGTCATAGCTTTTCTTCCAGGGGGCAAGCGTCTTTTAATTTCATGGCTGCAGTCACCGTCAGTCGCAGCAGTGGGGGAGGACTTTTCCTCAGATTATTGGAACTGTCCTTTCTCTCCAGGGGCTCCGACTTCTAGGCTGTGAGCAGGGACCCCCTAACTGAGCCATATCCAGACACCCACCTGGTCCCCGGGGCTCAGTCTGCGGTAGGGGTTCGGCACGGAGGGTCCTTGTCTACCCTCTCTCACCACTTTCCCTTTGTTCCCTTTAACTTGTTTCTCCCCTTCATTTTTTTTTCTCAATTAAAAAAAAAAAAAGCTGTAGAAGTAAAACATGCCCAGCAAGTAGAACAATATAGAAGGGTACTGAGGCGCTCCCTCAAACTCCAGATAGCCCCAGAGGTGACCATCGTTACCGCCTCCTGACAGTGACAGGGCAGTTTAGCACTACCACCCCGCAGGTCTGTGAACGGCACCATGCATCCCGTTCCCTTACAGTCTCTGCAGGGCTTCCTCCCACGCCTGGTCTACCCCACTCTGCTGCATTCTTCCCAGAGCGGCAGTGGCCCCTGATCCATGGCCTTTTTAAAGAAAATTTATTTATTTTTTTTTATTTTAATTGGATGCTAATTACTTTACAGTATTGTGGTGGTTTTTGCCATACATTCACATAAATCAGCCATGGATGTACATGTATCCCATTCTGACCCTTGCTCCCACCTCCCTCCCCATTCATTGCCCTTGAGGTTTGAGATTGTTGAATGTTCTGATGAACCCTTTTGCTTTCCCTGCATTTTGAAAATTCCACTCATAGAAAAAGTTCCTACCCCTGAAATTTCCAGACCCAAGGTTGGGGACCCTGAATTTTGAGACATACTGCCAGTTTGGCCTGCTGAAATGAGCGACAGACCTGCCCAACAGACTGCCTGTGAGGACCTGTGTGTCTCCCCAACATTGGGTACTGCCAGGCTTAATTAGGGCATGTAGGTCCGAAAGTGGTAAGAGCTACCTTGCTTTAATCCTGGTTCCCCGCGCTGCCCCATGACATAGTTTAACTGGCTGCCCCAGGCCCCTGGGGACGTTGTTTCTGACTCCAGAGGGCACTTCTGTATGGGCTACATCCGGCAGGCGAAGAGGCTGCGGGCTGGACCCTCGGGTCGAGTCCCTGACTGGCTGCTGCCTACAGAGGACCTTGGCCAAGCTCTTGCTGGCTCATCTCTCAAGACCCTCGGGAAATTTTAATCGAGTCTAGCCATGGTTCTGCCTGGCAAGGTGCTGAGAGTTATTTGACCATGTGCGTACGTGCTAAGTCGCTTCAGTCGTGTCTGACCCTTTGTGACCCTATGAGCTGTAGCCCACCAGCTCCTCTGTCCATGGGATAGCATAGGCAAGAATACTGGAGTGGGTTGCCATTCCCTATTACAGGGGATCTTCCCAACCCAGGGATCGAACCTGCCTCTCTTATGTCTCCTGCATTGGCAGGTGGGTTCTTTACTCCTAGTGCCACCTGGGAAGCCCTTGTTTGACCACAACTGGAAATCCATGTACCACGATGACTGGCACATTGTGGAAAAGTTTCATTAAAGGGGCAATACTTCCCCCATCACACGTAGTGTACTCTGTGATTCTTCACTTTATTTTTTAAAATGCTGGTCACGGGAAGTGGCATTTCTCTGTTCCCTCTCCAAGGCCCGTGGGAGTTGTGAAGATGCGTCCTGGGGCTGGGCTTCCCTGGGACCCTGGAGACCTGGAGAACCTCCTCCAGGGACATGGTGCAGAGTCACAGCTAGGATTGGGTCATGGAGGGGAAGCTGAGCAGGAGACCTGACTTGACCTTCACGGCCCTCTGGCTCTTTTCCCCTTAGGCCCCTCCAGACCCGTGTCCCTGTGTGTGGGGGCACACAGTCCCTTTCAACCCAGAGTGGGGGCCGGGCTCTGTTGTTGTCACTTGCTGGGGTTTGGGACCTGTGAGAAGTGTGGGATCCCAGAAGAAGGTCTGGGAAGCCCTGCCACTCCACTCAGCTTTGTGGAGGGTACTTCCTCCCCACCCTCTACCTCCTAACTTTCTCTTGTTTGGGGTTCAAGGGTGGCCTTCCTCTAATTATAGTACCCGCCTGGCCTAATTATAGCCTGGGCTAATTTGTTAATGGCTTTGGGAACTGAGAGCCTTGCCTTGGGCAGGATCATGGCTTTTGGGTACACGCAGGGGAGTTATGCCAAGGGGCACTTCTGAAGGAATGTGGCTGGCCCTTGAGGCCCCCTGGGAGCCCCTTGTCCACCGGCGCACACGGGGCTCTGACGGAGGCTGTCTGTGTCTGCAGGTTGTCAGGGTGGGGCTCTCTCCCTCCCAGGAGCCCCTGATACACCACACCAAGCTGGGACTTGCCATCTTCATTCTATTTAAACACATGGTCCTAAATTAAAAGATACTTTTGGTTTTCCTTTCTGTACAAGCCATATCCGTTTTCAGCAACAGCTTCAGGACTCGTGACCCCAAATGTGTTAATATTTTGCTCAAGGAGTCTCAGGACTGGTCTCTCTGCTCCTCCAACTCATTACATTTTCTCCTCAGGGAAGTCCCACCTGGCCATCGTGCAGAAGGTGAACAACGAGGGCGAAGGTGACCCCTTCTACGAAGTGCTGGGCCTGGTCACCCTGGAGGACGTCATTGAGGAGATCATTAAGTCCGAGATCCTGGACGAGTCTGATATGTACAGTGAGTTCCCCGCCCCACCTGCCTCGCTCTGACGGACACCTGCTGTCCCGGGACAGGAAGGCCGAGTGTGAAGCCAGGGCCATCCTTCCTCCCGGCCTTCATGTCTCAGTCCAGATGCTGCTGCTGCTGCTGCTGCTTCTGGTGGAAGGAGGGCCCGCTAAGCTGGGAGCCGGCGGGTGGGCTCTAGTCTGTTCCCGAGTCCTTGCAGGACGCTGGCCTCAGTTCCAGATTCTCTCTTGCAGCTGACAACCGAAGCCGAAAACGAGTCTCTGAGAAGAACAAGCGTGACTTCTCAGCCTTCAAAGATGCTGACAATGAACTCAAGGTGAAAATTTCACCTCAGCTACTTCTGGCTGCTCATCGCTTCTTGTCCACGGGTAAGAGCAAGAGGGGGCCCTCTGGGTAGGGGCAGAATGTAGCTGTGGAGGGAGCGTTCTGGCTTCTCCTCCCCAGAGGGCTGTGGCAGATGAAGGGCCCAGGGCAAGCTTGGCTGCCTCTGGAAGGGGGCGAGGCGTTGTCCCTCCATTAGCCCCCACTCCTGACGATCCCTGCAGTTTATTTTCCCTGTTAATGAGTTGCTGCTGCACACTTCCAGGAAGCATCTGGATTTGTTATGGAGGTTTGATGCTGGGAGGATGGGAGGTGGGCACCAGGTTCCCCATTGAGGAGGGAGAAGACGACCTTTCCACATGCCGCCTCCCGGTGGGTGTACCTGCAGCCCTGCCCGCTCATCCTCTCCAAGCCCCTGGATCCTGCTCTGCTCTCGTCTCTCCACCTCCCCTCCGCCTGCATCTGCCGGGTCCCATGGGACCTGACCTCCCAGTCAGTCATTTTTCTCTCTTCTCACCCCTGATTCATAGCTCCCTTGGAGACCTGGGTGATTAAATAGGAAAATGCCTGCCTGCCCCATCCTCTCCCCTCACTCTTGACTTCCTTCCCGCCCTCACTTGCTGAAGCTGTGACCCTGTGATTTTTCTGCCAGGATATGGATGCTGTGGACTCAGACAACAGCACTAGTCATGTGTACCGGGCACTTCCCACATGGCAAGCGCGTGTCTCAGTGTCTTACGTCTGTTATCCCATTTCAGCAAGCAGTGACCCCGTGAAGTTTTAAACCCCCATTTTACAGATGAGGAAACTGAGACTCAGGTGAAGGAATGTGCCCGAGGTCATGTTCTATTAGTGCAGGAGCCATGGTCCCGGCAGGCAGACAGCTCCACGTCCACTGAGGCCAGAGCCAAGGGCGCACCCCCTGCCCACCCCGGGAGGCGGGGCCCGGCGGCGAGGAGCTGTCCAGCACAGGTGTGACCAGCCCCAGGTGCCGCCTGGCCTCCTGCGAAACCCTCCTCTCTACTCCCTCAGAGGTCCCCCAGTTCAGCCCTGCTCTGATATCAGAGAAGATCCTGCTGCGGCTGCTCAAGTACCCAGACGTCATCCAGGAGCTCAGGTTTGACGAGCACAACAAGCACTACGTCCGTCATTACCTGTACACGCGCAACAAGCCAGCCGACTACTTCGTCCTCATCCTGCAGGTGGGCCTGCCCCTCCGTGCCCTCTGCCCAACCCCCGCTGCCCGTCCTCCTCCCGAGGCCCTCCGTGGCCTCCTCGCGGTCTCGGGGTCTCAGCGCCTCCGCGGGGCCCGCAGCCCCGCTCACGCCTCGCTCCTCCGGCTCTTCTCCCTGGTGGTGGTCTCCTCTCTCTCTGACCGTGACCCGTGTCCTTTCAGGGGAAGGTGGAGGTGGAGGCCGGGAAGGAGAACATGAAGTTTGAGACGGGTGCCTTCTCCTACTATGGGACTATGGCCCTGTCCTCGGCCCCTTCTGGTGAGTCGTTGGACCGCCCCCCAGCACGTCTGGAGGGGTTCGGGATATGGGCAGGCTGCCCCCCTGCCGGAACCTGGGGCCGTCTCCAGGCTCAGAGCCCAGGTGCCTTCGGGGAGGGGCGGCCAGTGAGGGCCCGGACTTTGAGGAGGTAGGCTGGAGAAATGACTTGCCCTTGGGGACAGGGGTCCGAGGGTGGAGGGAAGGGGATTCTGAGCAGAGCCTGGAGGGGAGCTGAGAGTGCGTTCTGAGATGGTGAGACCAGCCTGGAGAAGACAAGGGAGCTGGTGGGTGTGTGTCAGGGAGGCCCAGGAAGTCGATGGCATTTGCTCATGATATGAAGCAGGGCCTGTGAGCAGGGGGACCTATAGCAGCAGAGTGGGCGAGCTGGGCAAGCAGGCCACCGTGGCCATGACAGCAGAGAACAGTTGAGAGAGAGGCAGGTGGAGGGAGGCTGTGTGGCCTCACTAGTGAAGACTGGGCCAGGGGAGCCGGTGGGGTGAGGAGTCCAAGGCGCCCGTGGTCGGGGCCAGGCCAGGGCCTGTTGGCCATGCAGTAAGGGGGCTGAGCCACCGCCTTTTGGTTAAGAGTCAGTTCTAATGGAATAAAGGAGCTCAGGGACAGAGAAAGGACTGGGCAGCCTCTGAGAAGGCCTCTCTTGCCACTCCAGGGCCCTCTGCTTCTCCACTGTTAGGTGGCTCAGGCTCCTGTTACCAGAGGGGCCTTGTGGCTGGAGTGGGCGCCCTGCATACAAGGCCCAGTGTCACCCAACTCGGCATCTCATTAGTGGTGTGACGCCTCCAAGCCTTGAGAGCAGCCACAGGTTCTGCAGGCTGTAGAGGGGGAAGTCTGCTTTGGTGCTGAGCACAGGCGCATGGTAGGGGGAGAGGGGTGCCTCCACGCTGTGCCTGCTTCTATCCTTTGACAAAGAAGACCTCCGTGTGGGCGGCTGGGCACACATGCGTATTGACAGTTCAGCTCATCTAGCGGCACGAGCAGGCACCTGCAGGGAGGGGGATGGGAAACAAGGCTCCAGAGCCGGGTTTGGGAACAGGTGGCCCCTGCCCAGGTGCCCCAGGCCTGGGGAGGACGTCTCTGCCCCTCCTAGGAGGACCTCTTACCATCCAGCTTCGGGAAGCCTTCTAAAGCAGGGCACACCATCACAGGACGCTCCTCTAAGCGCTGTTTCTCTGCAGTGATGCCTCAGAGCCGGGTTGGGGGCCTGGGCCCTGTCTTGACCTGGAGGCCCCTGCTTCCCACGTCAGTGGCTGGAAGGGAAGGGAGATGACTTCTGGGGGCTCTGTGTTCACTGTGAGAGCTCTGGGCCCACGCCGCCAGCTCTGTCCTTCTCTGGTCAGGGCTCATTTATGGGCTCTGGGCACCCTCCCCATCAGAGCTGGGTCCCCTTTCCCATGGCACCCCATCTCTGCTCAAGGCAGCCTGGCCCCCAGCAGGTCTGCTTCTCCCTGCTGTTCCTGTGGCTCTGTGTCCACCCTCCCACCACTGACCTTCTCCTCTTTTGCTCCAGTACCTTCCACCCTGGTTGGGTGTCCGCCTGGCAAGCGGAACTCCCTGCTCTCCTGGCTCTCAGGTAACGAGGCACGGCTAGAAGATGTGCACTGCCACCTGTCGCCTGAGCCTGCATCCTGCCGCTGCATTAACCTCTCCCAGCAGGCACTGGGGCCACCTCCGCCCCCTCCTCCCGGCACCTGTGCCCCCCCGCCCCCCCCCACCCGTTCACATGTGTGGGCCAGCCTGACAGGTGTTGGTTCTGCTTGACCTGGGCTTCTGTGTTACTGTGTCCCTTTGCCCAGGTCCTGGAAGGGTTTCCCCGAGGGTCCTTCAGTCTTTGAGAAGACTCGTGCGCACACACATACACCCGCACGTGACAGGCTGGGAGTGAAGGGCTGTTCCCGGCCAGGCCAGGTGAGCCCTGCTGCTCAGGGCCACACAGACTTCAGCAGGACGACTTGTCGCCTCTCAGTATTCTCGCCTGGAGAGTCCCAAGGACCAGGGAGCCTGGGGGACTACAGTCCACAGGGTTGCAAAGAGTCGGGCACGACCGAAGCGACTGAGCACACACACATGCAACCTTCTCTAAGAAAAACTTCCCTTCCCACCTTTCCTCACAAGCTTTGCTTTTTTATTCTGTGGCTGAAATGGTGTCCACTGGCCAGGGGGAGGCAGCCTCTTGGAGTTAGAAGTGCGGCCACAGTCAGACTGCCTTGGTTGAGTGGTGTCTCCGCCAAGACCAGCTGAATGGTTCTGGGAGCTGACTGACCTTCTCTGAGTCTTGATTTCCTCCTGTGAAATGGGAACAAGACATGTACCCACTTCTTAAGAATTGTTGGCCGCAGTAGGCAAGAGAATTGATATGAAATGTTTAGCTAGAGCTCAATTACTACTTGTACTTTCTCTATTATAGTGAAACCAGGAAGCGTTTGGGAAAAGGCCAGAGGCCCTGTGCTGTTTCTGGCCTTCCTCAGGTCACACTCCTGAGCGCTGGACCAGGGTCGGTGGGGCCCGTGTTGGCGCCAGCATCTTTGAGTTCACGGGATTGCCGTATCCCGTGTACACTGGGGTAGCAGAGGTCCTGACGTCAGACTGGCCTGGGCTGCTGCGCCCAGGGGAGAGCAGCGCGGGTGTCTCTGAGCTCGTTTCCTGGCATTGCTTAAAGTGGCTCTCGCGGCCCTGGCCGTCCTAGAAACCTGTCACTTCAGGCGCCTGTTTCCCATTGATGTTCGTACAGTTGGGCTATTTTCCTTCTTAATATACGAAAGCACACTTTAAAAAAAAACTGACTCTCTTAAAAAAGTAAAAAGGTGACTTAGCAGTTGCTGGTCCCATTCAGACACAGCCAACTTTTGGCTGTGATGAGTGGCCTTTGAGCAGGAGGCTGCCTGATGAGAACGGAGTGGACGGCATCGGTCTTCACTGGCCAGCCCCTCAGCCTCGCTCTCCTTTCCTGTCTCATAGATGGCGGGGTTGACACACACATGGCTTGAATCCTCATGTCTTTACCTGATATGGGACCAGAGACCGTTTTCCATAAGCTTTCTAGTTAGAGCTATGCAGGGTCTCACCAAGCAGAAGTGCCTTTGTTTGTTACTTCCCCCTTACGCATGTTCATGGGGATATGTATTCTAAATAATGGCGCGATGTAGACCTCTTTATGGAAAAACTTCTTCTGTGTTTAAGATTATGTCCTTAGAATATTATTTCCAGAGTTGGATTACCAAGTCAAAATTACCTGGGGTTTTTTTGGTTACTTTTTTGGGTTTGTTTTAATAGTAACATAGCTTATTTAGAAAAGTAGGAAAAATCCTAAGAAAATTAAGTATCATAATTTCATCATTCAGAAACAAAACTTCGTATTTTTAAAATTTCTAGGACCTCTGTTTTAACAGACCATGTGACTAATGTATGTTGGTTTAAATTCACTTCCTATCTCTGGAGTGTTAATAAGCATTAATTAAAAGCATTATGTCATTGAAATAATTAATGTTAAACAGTAAGAAATATTGACCTCCGAGGTGTTACTTAAGTTTGAATGAGTGATAGATGCACATGGTCCTCTGGTGGCTGTATACCAGGGGTTCCCAACCTCCGGAATCTAATGCCTGATAATCCGAGGTGGAGCCGATGTAATGATAATAGAAATAAAGTGCACAGTAAATGCAGTGTCCTCGAATTGTCCCAAAACCATCCCCCCTCACCCTGGTCCATGGAAGAATTGTTTTGCATGGAACTGGACCCTGGTGCCAGAAAGGTTGGGGATTGCTATTGTATGCTACCCATTGTGGAATACCCAGACTGTGTGTTCCTAGTTTTATGAATGAAATTCAGATGTGGAGTATTACTGAACTCAGTCTCAGTTGGTTCAGTCAGTCACCTAGACTCAGTGGTTGCTTTTTTCACTGGGCTGTTTGTTAGAATAGTTAACTGAGTCATTAGTAAGTTAGTAGTTAACTAAGCAAATCAGCTTAGGCCACTACCTGTTTGTTTAAAACAAGCCAGCATGCCTTCACAATTAACTTCTTGGTGCATTTCATTGTTCTCTGAATGTTCCCCCAAAATACAAGCTAATGAGGTACAATAATGTGTGTGCCCTTGCTTTTGCAAAATAAGGAGCTGGTTCCTTCCTCATTGGAGGTTGAGTCATTCCCCTTTCCTGGTTACTATCAGCTGAATGAAGCCTGTTCTGCCCCTAGTGATGGGAAGAGGCACTGCCATAGCTACCCCAGGGCTCTGCCTCATGGGATGGAAACTGGGATCAGTCTCCAGACACCCCAGTGTGGGAAGCTGGAGCTCTGGGGCCTCCAGGTTCCTGTGAGAAGAGTCTGCTGCCTCCATCCGCCTGCCAGACTGGCTGGGCTCAGCAGACACAGGCAGGACTGTTCCACACACAAGTCTCATGGAACACGCTTTTGACCTCTTAGAAGCATTTTGAGATACGAGCAGGGTGTCACATTGGGGGTGTCTGTATGTATGGTGAGAGAGTGCAAACTGTAGGTTTTCCTCTTCATATAGTTTAGAAGTGTGCAGTTTACATCCCTTGACAGAAGTGGGCATTGAGATGCTGTCTACCACACTCGGGCCATCTTTGTGTTGCCCCTGCCTCATTACTTGTCGGGGGAAATGAGAGCTTTTGTAGACATAAACTTTCTGTGTCTCAGGTTTTTGTTTTCTGTTTTGTTCTCTGTTCGGGTAGACTTTTGAATACTTACTGCACAACACTTCTAAACAAACTAACTCGTTTGCTCTGATGAGGTCAGACCTTGAATAAGGGCTTTGTTTGCACCCAAGAACTCCTTTCCGTTTCCAGTGAGGGCACCACTGCCCAGGTGTCTGAGGGACAAGGTTGGACAGGAGGCTGTGAGGGGCACCAGGCCGGCCCCTGACCTCACGGTCTCTCTCCCCACCACAGACCGCTCCCCATCCCACCCCACGGCCCTCAGTCGCTCGGCCTCCCTCAGCTACCCAGACCGCTCAGAAACGGCAAGCACCGTGCCCTTGGCAGGCAGCAGCAACCAGTTTGGCAGCTCGATCCTGGGCCAGTACATCTCTGATTTCAGCGTGCGGGCACTCATGGACCTCCAGTACATTAAGGTGAGCACTCCCATGGCCCTCTGCCTGGGGCAGCCCCATCCTCTGCCTCCTGGGCATCTGGATCACTCTGCCTCCAGTCCATCGGCAGCTTCTTTGATCCACTGCACCCAGCGTGAATAGGCTTCCCAGGTGTTGCTAGTGGTAAAGAACCCGCCTGCCAATGCAGGAAACACAAGATCCCTGAGTTGGGAAGATCATCTGGAGGAGGGCATGGCAACCCACTCCAGTATTCTTGCCTGGAGAATCCCAAGGACAGAGGAGGCTGGCAGACTACAGTCCATGGGGTTGCAAAGAGTCAGACATGACTGAAGCTTAGCACACGGCACACGCAGGCCCAGCACGGCGGGCGCGGACCTGGGATGTGTGTCCTTCCTACTCTGGCTTCTCACTCTTTGGTGGGGGGCGCTTCTGAGACACACTGCCCTGGGTCACGCCCTCTTTCCTGGACTCAGCTTCCATCCTGGCCACATTTCCCTGGCCCCCCAACTCTGCCCTCAGTGACCACCCCACCCCTGCCCACCCCCCTGCAGATCACCCGGCAACAGTACCAGAACGGGCTGCTGGCCTCACGCATGGAGAACTGCCCCCAGTTCCCCCTGGACGGGTGCGCCATCTGCACCGAGAACTCAGCTGACAAGGCCGAGCCGCCACCGGCGGACGAGACCACGAACCTGCTGAATGAGCGCAACTCCTTGCTGCACCGGACGTCTCACGAGAGCGCCATCTGACAGGAGGGCCCGGGGTCCCCCGCCAGCCCCGCGGGGGCCTCCCCAGTGGGCCCACAAGAAGACAGGGGGCCTGTTAGGCCGGAAGGGGTACAGTTGCCCTGTCTGACTGAGCAGCCAGAGGGTCCCCTGCCTGAGGGGGACCTGGTCTCTGACAGGGTCCTCTGAACAGCTTGGAGGTGGCAGCTGCATGGCCCCGGACTGTGGGGCAGTATACCGGCGACCAGGAACGCTCCTAAACTCAGCTCGTTGCACCTCTTTTTAAATGTCAGGGGGAAGGGAAGACAGGGTTAAGGAACTTTAAAAGCAATTTTTTTTTTCCACAGAAACTTTAAAAGGGGTAGGGTTTCTCACCCCGGGAAGCAATAGCCATAACGTGCTCCCAGTTGTGACCTTCTGGCTGCATCCCTGACTCAGGGAGCCACCTCTCCCTACTCCTCTTCCACGTCCTCCAGAGATGGCACCACTGCAGTCTCCTGGAGGAAGATTTCTTCTTGGGAGAGAAGACAGTTCTTCCCAGGAAGCAAAGAACCAAATAGCGCTGAGAACAACTGCCTGGATGCACGCTGAGGCTCACCTGTCGTCACCAAGGCCAAGGGATTTTTCTGGGAACCCTGGTCAGGGAGGTGACAGTCCCAACTGTGGAGAGGAGCATGCCTCCTCCTGTCAATCGCTGGACCCAGGAACCTCCTAGAACCCTGCTGATGGGGTCTCCTGGTGAGTTGGGTTGGGCCGAGGCTGCCCCACGGTCTGCCTCACGTCCACCCCTTTGGACAGCTCTCCCCTTGTCGTGGGACTGACTCCCAAGTATTAGGCTGGTCTCACACCGTTAAGACTTCTAACCAGACTGCTCCCCAGGCCCTGCCCTCAGTTTCACCAAAGGTTTCCCCCTGGTGGGGAGAGTGTCTGTGTTAGAGGGGCTTACCTGTGATGCTCTTTTCGGGGCCAGGAGGGAGCTTGGTCATGAGCATCTACATTGTTAGCAGTCAGTTCATCCCCCTCCCACCCCATAGCCAAAGTCAAGTCTCATTACTGACCCACAAAGCCCTTCTCTCCAGATTCCCTGCTTCTAATCCCAAACCCGTGTCTCTTGGGGATTGAGGTCAGGAGGACGTGTAGGAAGCCAGCACAAGTTGGCTCTTCATGCCCTTTCCTCTGTGGCCGAGGCTCACCTGACCTTGTTCACGTACTTACAGAACCCGGGAAAGGAGGTTTCCACCTAGAAGGCACCCAGCCAGCAGCCCCGTCCTACCCACGTGTGTGGTCCTAGTGTGAGCTGTCATCCTGGTCTTTGCTGCAGCCCGTGGTGCTGGACCCTGGGTGCCCCAGCCCCATCTGCAGTCCTGCAGCTTCTCCCTGAGCAGCAGGCTTCCCCCTGTCGGGGAGGCTGTGGGACCAAGGTCCACTTTGGCCCTTTGGTTGGGTGGAACGGCTGGGGGCCTGGAACAGACGAGGGGGCCTCGCAGGCCTTCCCGCACGTTGTGTATTCAGCCCGTGAGACCGGGTGCCCCAAGCACTCTGCTGGCAGTGACCGGGAAACGCCTTGCCCCAAGTATGCTGGGCCCCGGTCAGTGTGACAGGCCTCACCAGTGACAGAAGTGATTCCCACAAGTCTGGAGAGAAGGTGGTGACACCTGTGGGTGCTCGGCCATAAGGAAGACACCAGACCTTCGTGCCCTGTCCAGGGAAACCCCTGAGTTTTCTCCAGGAGCAGCTTGCTCTCCGCGTCCACATGGGGGCTTGCAGTACGGTTTTCCTGGGGTCTGAGTGCTGCCTGAGCCCACCCACTGCCTGAACCTAGTGTTTGTGTGTGAAGTCCATGGAGCAGGTACACACACTTCCATGGCTACCTCTCTGCACACACAGATGCTCTCAAGAGATGGTCCCTCCTCCCCACCTCTCCCTGTCCCCATTTATAATCACTTTTTGCAGAGGGTCATGGTTATTTCCAAATATTACTGGTCCGATGACTTCCTCTTCCCAGTGCAATTTCTCATTTCCTATTCCAGCCTCTGGTTCCTGGGCTGAGCCGTACCCTGGACCTGGCCCAGCCCTGCGCGTCTTCCCATGGAAGGGGGACCTCTGCAAACAGCAGGCCTCCATGTGGGTAGGCGAGTCACAGCCACCGTAGCAAGTAACTCGTATTTATTTTGCATAAGACTTTAATTTGTATATTTTTGTGATTTATTTTGGCATTGTTATGAGTTTTGACTCTCGGGGAGTTTTGTTGTTATGACTCTTGTGTCTTTTGTCACAAAACAATGATAATATTTGCTAAACGATATATGGAATTTATTTTTGATTGGTAATAAAAAAATGAAATATGGATAAATCTTGGTGAGCCTGCAGTTTGCCTGTCTTGAGCTCAGGTCCTGTCACAGAGCTTGAAGTGGCTGTGCTTGGCTATGACAGGGCAAGAGACAAGCATCCTGGGACTGTTTAGCACTAAAAAAAAAAAAGGAAATGGACATGTAACTTACAAAAACATAATCAAGGCTGTTGTCACAGGGGCTAGAGAGTGCCAGCTGCTGCTAGACCGATACAGCAAGTGTGCTCAACTGCCACCGTTATGAATCCAGTAAAATGGAAACCAGAGGGTCAGGGACAGCCGGAATGGGCAAATTGCCCCTCCTCTGTCCTCTAGGGGCTGAAGGAGAAAGGTGCTTGATCTAAAACTATGATTGCATTGTCTAAGAACAGCAGTTGCCTCTCGGTCCAGACTTGGGGGCTAGTTGTGGTCTCCAAGTTGGAGTGCCCACCCCTGGAGAGCCCACCTGGAAGGGACCTCACTGCATATCCACTCCGGAGGCTTCAGTCGGGTAGACTCCCACAGCGCCCCCAGGTGCCTCAGCCAGTGGGTACAATGGAGTGCGCCCAGGCCAGGGGCTCAAGGAAGCCTGGCTTAAGAGGGGAACTGGGGAGAATGTTAGGCATTGGGTAGGCAGAAAGGAAAGAGGACATTTCAGATAAAAGGAATAACAAATGCAGAGTCTTGTGTATAGGTGGGCAAGAATAAATTTCATTCATCCATCTGCTGCATGCCACCAACCCCTCAGGCTGTCTTCTCCACCTGGATTATTCTCCCAGGTCTTTGTGAGGCTCACCCCTCGCTTCATCTAAGCCTCTGTTCAAATGCTACCTCTTTGAAGAAGTCTTCCCCCATCAGACCACCCAAAAGAGCTTGGCCCCCATCCCTCTGTCTGTCTCCTCATCTTGCCTTGTTTTTTTCTCTGTCGAACTTAACTGTCAGGTATTAAAATAAGGATTTGTATATTTTTTGTTGTCCTCACACTAGAGCTTAAGCTCCAGTAGGTCATGTTATTTCAACTGCAGTCCCAATGCTAGAGCAGTACCTGGTGCACTGCAGGCATCGGATGCAGGAAATACTTGTTGAATGAACGAATGAATGGGCCTTACCAGAAGGTAAGTACCGGATTTTACTGGAGGGGAGCATGCTGCTCCTGTAACCTTGACTGAACCTAGTAAAGATGGTCGAGGAAAACTGGCTGGAGGAAGTGATGTATACAGACGTGAGAGAGAAGCAGGAGGCAGTGAGGGGTCACACACAATAGTTATGGGTTTAAAACTCAAGAATAAATATTTCGATAAAACATGGAAATGTCTTGAGCTGAATGGCCAGAAAGGAAAATCGCCCATGAGGGACCTGGAAGTCTGGTGACAAGTGTCTCCACCGATGCTGCCAATAATGGACCAAAGAATGGTGCAGAGCCAAGGAAGGGAGAAGCTGGGGAAGTGGTGTGGGACCTATGTTGTTCATAGAAGGTCATTCATGGGCAACTTTGTTTGCCCTGCGCTGGATCCTTGGGTCTCATGGTTTAAATCATCATTCGTGTTTTCCAAGTGTGATCTGATTGTTCTATCTAAAGGTTTCCCTGCCAAAATAAGTTACAAGGTTGTTTTCCAAGGGAGCCTGAGCCCAGAGGAAAAGTCACAGGTCAGAGCCCTGTGTAGAGGTACTGGGCGTTTTTCCCACCTTGCCTCTGGAACTGTTCTTTGCTGGTTAACTTTTCAGGCATGTAGCTCATTTCAAGCATGTTGTCCATTCTATCTCTGTCAGCATTTTTATCTGGACTTGGAGACAGGTGGGAACCAAAGGGACTGAGTCTATTATTATTTTTGCAAAAGAGGCATGCCAGTCCGGTGGAAAGGGCCAAAGATCATAATTGCTTCTGTTGGCAGCTTATTCTGGAATTTTTCACACAATACTTATGTTGGTCACTCACCACAGGTTTACTCATTTTTGCACATTACCTTCCACACTTAATTGTGACCACAGTGCCTAAGCTTTTTAATAGTATTTTCATGACAACATATGTGTTTCTATACAGTCCTTGCAAAGCCCATTTTAAATAACACTCATATGGATGGTCTTATCAGTCTACTTATGTTAGGAAGGTTGAAAATACATTAAAATGTAGAAAATACAAAAAAACCATTTTGGCGGCACACTTATAGAGAAGTCTTGTTAGCTTGTCCATTTCCTTCCAACCAGGTAAAGTTCACATATAACAGGTTGAGGAACACTCCATACTGTCAAGGACCATACAGTCTTCTAAAACAACAATCCGGGGAGGATCCTCTTGAATAGTTCCTGTTCGTCGTTAGGAATTATTTTCCCAAGGATCCTCTGCTACAAGTGAAGTGACCAGATACAGTAATTCCTGACAGAGATGCCAACTCCTAGTGTGGCTGGGATGGCTACAGGATATTAGCTGGTCGCTTTGGAATCCATCATCTGTGCATCTCTGGTCAAGTGTATTAATAACGAAGTAGCTGCAAGGATCCAATGAGGCAGTGATGTCGTGTGTTTACGTTCTTCGTTCTCTCTGGCAGGGTGCAAGTTCATCTAAGGAGGGACTGTGTGTTTACGTCTCAGACCCATAGCAGAGTCGCGCGCGATCAAGGAATACTTAAAATAAGCTTTAGCTTCCGACGCCCAGTCGCCGGTTCTTTTAGCCCTCTTCGAGGTTTGGGTCATTGATTTCTGAGAAAACGGACCATCTCCCTTCGTTGAATACTCTAGCTGCAGTTTCAGGAGCGCCACTCCTCTCGGCGGCCCGAGTCCCGAGCCAGGGACTTCCCAGAGTACGGGCCTGGCTTCCCGGCGCTGGGGACGGCCGGAGGGAACCAGGCGCCCGCGGAGAGCGGGCCAGCTCGCCGCCCAGCGTCCTCCGGTTGCCGCGGCCCAGGCCCACAGGGCCAAGAGCCCCACGCCCCCGGCCCGCCCCGGGATCTCGCCGCCGCTTGTTTACTCCCCGGCGCAGCCTAGTCCGACCCTGGGGCCCGCCCCCGCCCACTGCCTATTGGCTGAGGAGACTCCAGGGCTGGCGACGATTGGCTCGGCGGAGGCGGAGAGGTAGGCTGCGCGGCAGGCCGAGAGGGGGCAGCAGGCGATGGCGGCGGCAGCGGCGGCGGCGGGTCGGCTAGGCTGGTTGCTCGCCGCGCTCTGCCTGGGCAACGCCGCCGGCGAGGCGGCGCCGGACCCGCGACTGCTGGGCGTCTGTTTAGAGGAAGACGGAGCGGCGGGCGCGGGGTGGGCGCACGAAGGGGAGGTTCGGGCAGCGCCGGAGGCCACCTTCCGCTTGCGCCTCTTCGGCTCGGGCTTCTCCAACAGCTCCTGGTCCTGGGTGGCTCCTGAGGGGGCGGGTTGCCCCGAGGGCGGGCCGGCCGCGGCGCCCGACGAAGCGGCAGCCCCCACGGGCGAGTGGCGTGCGTTGCTGCGCCTGCGCGCCGAGGACGCGCGCCCGCACTCTGTGCGGCTGGCGGTGCGCGGGGAGCCTGGCGGTTCGGCTGCCGAAGAGGCGGCAGACCTCACGGGCGAGTGGCGCGCACTGCTGCGCCTGCGCGCCGAGGCCGCACGCCCGCACTCGGCGCTGCTGGCCGTGCGTGTGGAGCCGGGCGGCTCGGCAGCCGAGGAGGAGGCGCCGCCCTGGGCTCTGGGCCTGGGGGCGGCGGGGCTGTTGGCGCTGGCGGCTCTGGCGCGGGGCCTGCAGCTGAGCGCACTGGCGCTGGCGCCCGCCGAGGTGCAGGTGCTGCGCGAGAGCGGCTCGGAGGCGGAGCGTGCGGCGGCGCGGCGCCTGGAGCCTGCACGGCGCTGGGCGGGCTGCGCCCTGGGCGCGCTGCTGCTGCTGGCCAGCCTGGCGCAGGCGGCGCTGGCGGTTCTGCTGTACCGCGCGGCCGGCCAGCGCGCAGTCCCCGCCGTGCTAGGCAGCGCGGGGCTCGTGTTCCTGGTGGGAGAGGTGGTGCCGGCTGCCGTGAGCGGGCGCTGGACGTTGGCACTGGCGCCGCGCGCGCTGATCCTCAGCCGCCTGGCGGTGCTGCTCACCCTGCCCGTGGCGCTGCCGGTGGGCCAGCTGCTGGAGCTGGCGGCGCGGCCAGGGAGGCTGCGCGAGCGCGTGCTGGAGCTGGCGCGCGGCGGCGGCGACCCCTACAGCGATCTCAGCAAGGGCGTGTTGCCCTGCCGGACAGTGGAGGACGTGCTCACGCCCCTCGAGGACTGCTTCATGCTGGATGCCAGCACCGTGCTGGACTTCGGCGTCCTGGCCAGCATCATGCAGAGCGGCCACACGCGCATCCCCGTCTACGAGGACGAGCGCTCCAACATCGTGGACATGCTCTACCTCAAGGACTTGGCTTTCGTGGACCCCGAAGACTGCACGCCGCTCAGCACCATCACCCGCTTCTACAATCACCCACTCCACTTCGTCTTCAATGACACCAAGCTGGACGCCGTCCTGGAGGAGTTCAAGCGAGGTAACTGCTGGGGAATCGCGGAGGGGACGCGAATGTCAGCGTTCTTCCCCCAGAGAAGGAGTGGGGTTTAGGGAAGCCTTGGGGAAAGGTCCCAACGTGGTGGACGACAGGGAGGCCTCTGAGCACCTTTTTAATGAAGATGATGGTTTTGTAGCTCCAAATGATTTTGAAAAATATAATTTAAAGCCTTTCGTTCCGAAAATGACAGAACTATAGACAATAAAAATCTTTTCCGGGCAGGCCCCCAGTTTGGGGAGGTATGTGTACTTGACTCTAACTTTCCAGCTCTTTACCGGGTCATTTTTGTGGGCTTGGGCGTTGTGGCAGGTCCAGACTCTTGGATAGAAACTGAAAGAACATACAGTATAGGGTCTAGGTACCTGGACGCTGTTGTTTGCACATGTATAATACAAAATTAGCTGTAACCTGTGATGTTTCCAGGGCATCATTGTTAAGGTCAGTGAAAAGGGAATGATTGATCCTGCAGTGTGGAAGAAGCTTCCACTTTGATTTCACCAGAAGCTACTTGATCATGGAGACCAGTTGTCTCACCTTCCTTAAAAAAAAACAACAAAAAACTAAAACCCAAGTAAGGGCTCAAGTTCTCTTAACTCCACATTTTGTCCTCTCCTTTCACCCCGGTTCAGGTGAAACTGAGACCCTCCCATTGTGAAGGTTCGGGTTCCCCTGCAGTCTCCCTCTCGGTAACTGGGCTTGATCAGGCTTGAACTTCTGTGGGGACACTTTTGGACTTAGAATGAGCTTGACCACAAAGACTGCATGATTGAGGCAGAGAAGTGAGCAAGGCCCCTCATAATGACTTCCTGACAGCTGTGAAGTCTCCAGGTCCCAGGATCCCATAGGAGGTTCCCTGTGAGCCCCTGGACCGTCAGGGCAGGGAGGCAAAGGTCTGCCTTAGTGCCCACAGCACTGCTGTATGCCAGCCACTAGTGGCCACCCTCACGCACCATCTCCTTTAATCCTTGCAGGAGGCTTGGGTTTTGAAGAATTAGGCAGTTACTGTTAACTACTGTTTCTCTGGATTGGGTGGGAGACTTTGATGGGCAGCTCTGGCTGCTCCACTGGAGAATCTCTGGGTGCTTCTACTGGTTTCCTCAGAAAGTAGCCCTGCTCTGGGGAGAGGAGCCTCCCAGGGGCAAGTGCCCATCTCCGAGTATTACGGTATTTTCTGAGGCAGTGGTGGTTCTCGTGGCTGTTTGGCTGCTGGGCTGCCCTGGAGTCAGCAGGGGAGGGTACCATCCTGCCCCTGCCATCTTTCCGCTTGAGGCCAGGCTTGACCACCAGGGCGGTGGCTGCAGGCAGAGCGTGGCACCCTGTTGAAGTGGTTTCCACAGATCACTGACTGGTGTGGAGACCAGAGTAGGGGGGTCCCCGTGGTTGGGAGGGCCCAGTGAGAGGTGATGGTAGCCTGAAGAAGGGTGCTCAGCAAGCGTAGAAAGGAAGACCCAAGAGGGCCTTGGAAGGTGGGCTTAGGATTTTGTGGTTCGCTGAGGGGCTGTGGGGCGGGAGAAGGAGCTGAGGATGAATGTGGGTTTTGGCTTGGTGGTGGCCTTGCCTTTCCCTGAGGCCGAGCACACGCAGGAAGAGAGGGCTTGGGAGTTGGGGCCGGGGCAGGCAGATGAGTTTGTTGTGAACACTGGAATTTGTGTGTGCAGTGGCCTGAGACGTGGGCTGCTAGGAGCAGCCCATGTGCAGTGAAGCACAAGTGAAAGTCTCAAGCAGGAGGGAAGCATCTGGATGTCGGTGGGGAGGTGGTCCCAGGGAGTGATCCTGTTAGCTGAAAGAGGGGCACTAGCAGGGCAGGGGTGGGTGGGCAGTGAGGACGGGTGCTGAGAAGAGGGGAGGGAAGGAAAGTGATCACGAGAGGAGGCTTGCATCATGTCCTTTGGCTCCAACAAGCAGGATAGCCTTGACCTTGCAAGAGCAGTTGTGGCGTGGCGTGGGGAAGCCGTGGTGGGGCCCGCAGTGAAGGGGATGGGCCTTCATGGAGGCATGGCTGCAGAGGGGCGCTAGAGAGCGGAGGCCAGGAGAGGCCAGCAGGGCGGGAGGCCGTTTTCTCGCCTTTTCTTTGTTCGCTTTTTAAAAAGTTTTCATCAGAGGAAAACTGTGTTACGGCGTTGTGTTGGTTTCAGCTGTACAGTGACTCCAACCAGCTATAGTTTTACATATGTCCCTTCTCTGCTGTTTTCATTTATTTATTTAATTTGCCTGTGTGGCATGTGGCATCTCAGTTCCCTGACCAGGGATCGAACTGCAGCCCCTGCGGCCAGAAGCATGGATCTGGGCCAGCCATCGGACCGCCAGGAGCGCCCTACGTTTTGGTTCTAATACGGCGGGGTCCACTGGGCTTGGGTCTCGATGTTGGTAGGGACGGACAGCCACAGTGTGGCTGCTCCTCTTCTGGGGTGGTGGCCTTGGGGCGGGTCTGGAGAGCCCCCTTCTGGAAGGGAGTGGGGGGGGTGCAGTGTGGAGGTTGCATGGAGGGCTACGGTCCCCTTGACCTCCTGACTCCTGTGGGGAGTGAGGGCCATTCTCAGAGCAGGATAGCCTTATCTTTCCTGTGTCGCCTGAACTCTCTCCACTTCTGTGCAATGCAGTCCTTTGGCAGCTAGCTTTACGTTTCCTCACTGAAGTCCTCATTAACCCAGCCCTCTTCTTCATTCCTCTGCTCATGAACAGAGAGCATATTGTAGCCTCCTTGGTGCACGAGGTTTCAGAAATCAGTCCCCTTCCTGTCTCTCTGCCAAGTGTATGAGGCAGGGGTCCCTCTGAATTCCTTGAGGCGGAAGGCCCTGGTGTCTTGGCAGTTATTATTTCAGACCCCATTCCTTTCTCTCTTTCAGACTGTGGTTTGTTCTGGAACTTTAGAGTCTGGAAGAGGCCCCTTCCGCGGTGAGGCACCCCTCAGTCAGTGTGCAGACCTGGGGTGACAGCTGATTGTTTTGTGCACGTGCTGCTAGGAGGAGTGCAGACTTCTGGAGGTGTAGTTCAGTTCAGTCCCTCAGTTGTGTCCGACTCTTTGCGACCCCATGGACTGCAGCACACCAGGCTTCCCTGTCCATCACCAACTCCCAGAACTTACTCAAACTCATGTCCATTGAGTCAGGGATGCCATCCAACCGTCTCATCCTCTGTCGTCCCCTTCTCCTCCTGCCTTCAGTCTTTNCTCTGTATAATAGGCTCCAGTTTCATCCACCTCATTAGAACTGATTCAAATGTATTCTTTTTTTTTTTTTTAGTTTCCACAGTATTTATTAACACTTTATGATGAAGTACTAGGGTTTAACCCATTTAAGTTTTTTCCAAGCCAACCACATAAAGTTCATAAGGATGATCTAACCAATTATCACAGAATCCCACTAACTACAAAAGGATGACTGTTAGGCAGAATTTTGCTTTAAATGGTAATTGACTTACCAAATGATCTGTTAAGTGCCTGTTAATATTAAGGATTTTCCAATAGAAAACACAGTATTTGCTTTTCCATTTTGAATAACATACTAAATTTCTGATCAAAGAAAGGTTACTTCTATTTTTACATAACAGTAAAGATCACGGAACCTTACTCTTACAAAACACGAGTTACAATGATCACTTTCAGAAAGTGGGATTACCAGGCTAGATGAGATCCCAAGTATTAGAACTACATTTTTGAGTTCAACCAATTTAAGTTTAAAGAACATTTTAAAAAGCTAGTAACTTAGGCAAAACTGTATAACAGGTCCACTACAAAATCTTTTATTTTTAACTTAAACCTGTTTAAGGGGCCAAAATGACTTTGGCAAATTTGATTAACAGCACAAAATAACGTATCCAAACTTATTGCATCTGAGACTTGCCTTGTTTTACACTTAAGTAGAGTTTACATCGTTTCCACAGATGTACTGATAATCTGTATCTCGAGGAATTTATAAGAGTGACCTATTCAAGTAAGGCAATCATCCTGGTAGCAAACTTTTATTGAAATCTTACATAACTCAAGCTTTATAAAAAGCCAACATAATTGAAAATTGGGTTCTCCCTCTAAAGCCTTAAGTATTCAAAGCCTGAAACGGTTAATTTAAAATTAAGCAAACAAACATAACAATAACGAAACCCCTCCAGCAGATCCTGCTGAAATACTTAAAAAAAAAAATCTAAATGAGCTTAATCTTTACAAAAGTTATTTTAGCTCAAAAGCTATAAAATCAAAGTTATCTTAATTCTACAAAGAAGGGAGAGGATCTTTGACTTCATGCCATTTCTTTAGAACCTCATCTTTTTCATCAAATTTGGCTACAAATCTGATTTCTGTGTGCCCGTTTTGGGAGGTTTCTTCTTGCAGAAGAGGCCAAGTAGAAACATGAAAGAGTAACTCACTAAGCAAGTAGGAAAGTGTTTGTTCTGTAATAGTGTGCAAAGAATGGAGAGTTCTGGGTTAATCTCTGGAACTTGATCTGGATCGTGACCTTGACTTTGAACAAGATCTAGAATGGGATTTTGAAGCTCTTTTTGGTGCAGGGGACACAGAACGGGCCTTTGAGGGTAGAGCAGGTAGGGGTGAATTGGAACGGGATTGGCTCCTTGATCTAGATTTGGACTTTATATCACCTTTTCCGTTTTCTTTGGGGGAACGAGATCGAGAATGAGACCTGCTTCGAGATTTCTCATACTCATCCTCCGATCTGCTCCGAGAGCGCGAACGGGATCCCCGATCGGACTTGGGTTTAGATTTGCTTTTTGATCTAGATTTCCTGCCTTTGGAACAAGACCGTGACCGACCTTTGCTCAGAGACCTGGATCGGGAGCGACTTTTTGAGATACTTCGAGATCTACTGCGGCTGCTCCTACGACTTCTACTTCGTGACCGTCTTCTGGGTCGTGACCTAGATCTGCTTCCAGAATAAGACCGCCTATGGCTTGTTCGTGGTTTATCTTCAATGAGTCTAATATTTCTCCCATTTATTTCTGTACCGTCCAGTTTATCCAAAGCACGCTTCATGTCAGAGTAGGAGCGAAACTCAATGACACCTTCATTTGTGCGTTCTTTGTGAGCATCTGCATAGGTTACTTCACCTGCTTGTCTCATGAAATCCTTTAAATCTTGTCAACTGCCACGACTAGAAAGATTTTCTACAATAAGTGTGAATTCTGTGCGTACAGGTGGTCCGTGTTTGTCTCTCCCAGAGGTTCTCCGACTGCTGTATCCACCTCCACCACTGCGGCTTCCGTAGCTGTAGCCATCGCGATCCCGGCGCGGGCCGCGGGCGTGCTCCACGATCACGCGCTCGCCGCACAGCTCCTTGCCGTTCAGCTCTACCTAGATCTGCTTCCAGAATAAGACCGCCTATGGCTTGTTCGTGGCTTATCTTCAATGAGTCTAATATTTCTCCCATTGATTTCTGTACCGTCCAGTTTATCCAAAGCACGCTTCATGTCAGAGTAGGAGCGAAACTCAATGACACCTTCATTTGTGCGTTCTTTGTGAGCATCTGCATAGGTTACTTCACCTGCTTGTTTCATGAAATCCTTTAAATCTTGCCAACTGCAACGACTAGAAAGATTTTCTACAATAAGTCTGAATTCTGTGCGTACAGGTGGTCCGTATTTGTCTCTCCCAGAGGTTCTCCGACTGCTGTATCCACCTCCACCACTGCGGCTTCCGTAGCTGTAGCCATCGCGATCCCGGCGCGGGCCGCGGGCGTGCTCCACGATCACGCGCTCGCCGCACAGCTCCTTGCCGTTCAGCTCGTAAACGGCGTTGTCGGCGTCGCGGGAGTCCTCGAACTCCACGAAGCCGTACCCATTTTTAAGGTCTATTTCGAGAAGACGGCCATAGCCACTGAAAAAGCGCTGGATGTCCTTCTCCCTGACGTTGTAGCTCAGGCGTTCTATGTAGACGCGCGGCATGTCCGCAGCGGGCAAGGGGCCCGAGGGCTGGCGGTCGAATGGCTGACCGCACGGCAGTAGCCGCGGTGCGGGTGCGGTGACGGCGAGAGCCCAGACACGCACCTCACACCACAGCGGCGGCCGAGTCCAGCCACACAATCGAAAGGTAGATTCTTAACCACTGGACCACCAGGGAAGTTGCCAGGCAGCAGCTTGACTTCCCCTTTCTTTCTCTACACCAGAGCCTAAAGAGGTG